CCTGACTGGGAATTGAACCTGTGACCCTTTCATTCACAGGCCAGCACTCAATCCACTGAGCCACACCAGCCAGGGCTGGAGTGAAAAAATTTTAAATAATTCATATAGGAGCTAACCAGTGCCTTTAAGAATAAGTGGATTTGCCTTGGCCCATGTGGCTTGGTGGGTTGTTGTCCTGTGGGCAGAGGGTTGTTTGTCAGTTTGGTTCCTGGTTGGGGCACATGCCTGGGTTGCAGGGCACATATTAGAGGCAATCAATTGATGTTTCTCTCTCTTAGAACTGAAGAAATAAAATCTTAAAAAAAAAAAAAAGAAGTGGACTCAAGAGAATCTATAGCATGAGCAGCTGTAGAATTAAACTGGATTAGCTGAGGGGCAAAAACAAGCCAAAAGAAAAAGGATCTTTGAAAGTGTGCCTACGGGAAGGGGAAAGGTAAGAACAGATTCTTCAAGGGCCATGGTCTTCTTAAAGCAGGCAAAACCAGAGCCATATTTAATCACCCTTCCCAAGCAATGTACAGGCTTTGGTAATCTCTGGACAAAGAGGCTAACTGGTCAACCTGTCTCCAGTTTGTTATTTGCTCCTCTGTTCTGTACTTACCCCCAAATTAGTTTTCCCCAAACTTTTCAGATTCCCACAGAATAAGGACCAAACTCGTAGTAGTCAATGCCCTTCATTATCTAGCCCTTATTACCTAACTTTAAGCTCTCTTCCTAGGATCTGCATGAGTTTTCTACTCTGGCTAAAAAAGATGTCCCTGAACACCACGATTTCCCATCACCCAACCTTTGCTCGCTTCCAAGTCCAACTCCTGCTTTTGCCTGAGCCCTATTCATTCTTCGAAACCTTGCTTGAACTCTACCTCCCCGAATGAAGCCCACTTAGAACCATCTCTTTTCCTTAGTCCACTACCTGTACCACTCATGCAATATTGGCAACTTTTTATCTTGCCTGCTTATATATTGGGTTGGCCAAAAAGTTCATTTTTTTCTGTGAGATGGCTATTAATAGTGCTTAGTTGTCTTTAACTTCATTTGAAACAATTTTGTTAGACTGTACTTTGACAGCTGTCTTATCAGCATGCATTTAAAAAAACCAAAAAATTTTATCTTGCCCTGGCTGGTGTGGCTTAATGGATTGAGTGCCAACCTACGAATCCAAGTGTCGCTGGTTCAATTCCCAGTCAGGGCACATGTTTGGGTTGTGGGCCAGGTTCCCGGTGTGGGGAGCGTGAGGCAACCACACACTGGTGTTTCTCTCCCCATCTTCCCCTCTAAAAATAAATAAAATCTTTAAAACTTATCAAAGTTGGTGAATTTTTGGGTAGCCATTCTAATATTGAAGATGGAAGAAAATAAGGAACAATTTCAGCATATTACGCTTTCTCATTTCAAGAAAGGTGAAATGCAACTGAAACAAAAAAAGACTTGTGTAGTGTGTGGAGAAGGTGCTATGACTGACTGAGCATGTCAAAAGTGGTTCGTGAAGTATCATGCTGGAGATTTCTCACTGGGTGATACTTCATGGTTGGGTAAACCAGCTGAAGTTGACAGCAATCAAATTGAGACATTGAGATCAACATTATACCACATGGGAGAGAGCCTACGTACTCAAAATATCCAAATCAATCGAGTTGCTAGTGAAAATGAAAAGTATGTCTTTTAATTTATGGAAAAAACCATATGGACTTTTTGGCTACCCCAACCAATACCTTATTAAACTGAGCTTGCTTCTCAGGGGTCAAAATCCAACTGACTAAATATTTACATTAATTACAAGTCAGGTATGGAGGATATGAAACATAGACGAAGGTTACTTACAAAATTTGTCAGGCTTTTAAAACTCAGATAGTTGTCCTCCACAAGTAAAGAATTCAGAAGACACAGTGATGCTTGCTAAGTGACTGAAAATTACTCAAAGTCAACATTAAGATGTCCTTCCCAACTTCCCTCCCATTAACACAAAGGCACGTTGGGTAACAAACTAGGTTAATAGCCTTCACCAACCAAAGCTCAATAAACGAAAAGGACACAGAAAATTCCATGCCCAGAAATTGAGCATCAGAAAATTTCGATCAACTTACTGCTACAAAGCAGTTGAAATATAATTTCCTTACAAGCATAAAAAAACTAAGTAGGTATTGAGAAATTACTGAGCCAAAATGTAATGAGAACCCAGAGAACCTAGAAATCAAAGCTGCTCTTTCCTTTGAAGCATTTACCAATCTGGAAGAAATATGCTTTCAGAAGCTTCAAGGACCGAAGGGGACAAACATCAAAACCTAAGGGCAGCCAAAGGTGAGAAATCCCACCACAGACACCTTTAGCTGGGATTCCAAAAGTACTACACTTTCAAGACATGGTGAAACGAAAGCAAACCGTCCTCACGTGGACTCAATACCTGGATGTGTGCCATCTGGATGACCTGGGGCAACTCCGGCCGTCCATCTGAATTAGGGAGGTTTGGGAATACTCCCAGACACAGGAAACAAGAAGTACTTCCTTGCGGTAGATGCCTCATCCTTGTTCTGTTTATATCTACAAATAATTGTTCAAATACTGTCCAGTTTACAGATAACCTGGCATACTATGAACAAAAATCAGTAAAAACAAGGGACCCACGAGACTTCAGGAATTGAAATTTTAGACAAAGTTACCATGCCCTCCCTCCAATGAAGTGCTATTTATTTGAAAGTGTGGTTTGGGGTGAGTGGCTGGAACTCTTTCTCTCGGCAAACTTGTTCCTTTGCTCCTGAAGGTGTCAACCTTACTCAACATCCAGTTTAACTGTAGCTATAGATTAAAGCCCTGAGCAGTTTTCAAATCACCACAGCCCTGGTTGGTGTAGCTCAGTGGATTGAGCACAGGCCTCCGAACCAGACAATCACGGTTCGATTCCCAGTCAGGGCACATGCCTGGGTTGCAGGCCAGTTCCCTGCAGGTCAGCCCTCAGCAGGGGACACACAAAAGGCAACCATACAGTGATATTTCTCTCCCTCTCTCCTTCCCTTCCCCTCTAAAGATAAACAAATAAAATCTTTTAAAAAATCACCACAGCAGCAGAGAAATCACTGTTCCTAAGGAAAATATTCAACTACCTTTAAACCCATGCAATGTTCTGATTAACATAAAATTCTTATAATCTATTTTTGTATCTAGAATTTTAAAAATATGCCAAAGATAAGTCATTCTACCCCCCGGAACACTGTCCTCAAGGTCCTTGAGAATCATTGCTCTAAAAAGTGCATTAGCTTTTTTTGTAACTCCCTTTGGCAGTTTTCATTTGTAAGCAGATTTTTTATCTCGCTTCAACTGAGGTATGCCCCCACCTAGGGATGATAAATTAGGGTGTGTCCATAATGCATGGTTTGCTGTGTGGGCTTTTTCAAACACATGCCAATGCTACAGTGCAGGGGCTCAGACTTTTCTGTAAAGGGCCAGAGAAGCAGCACAGTGGAACCTCAGTTCTCGAACTTAATTTGTTCCAGGAAACTGTTCAAGAAGCAATTGTTCAAAAACCAAATCTTTTGTTGCTAGAGAGCAAATGACTGATCATATAGGTATCGGCACGAACAGGTTGTCAGGTAGAGAATCGAGACCCAAAGTTTTCTTGGACAACGTAGACTTTTCTGTTAACAACTTGGTCAAGAACCAAGCATTCAAGAACCAAGGTCTGACTATACTTTCAACTCTGTGGCTCATAATGTCTCCAGAGGGGCAGCGTCAAAGCAGCCAGATGTAAATACATGTGGCAGTGTTCAAATAAAACTTTATTTATGAAATGAGGCTAAAGTTTGCTGGTCCTCAATTTAGAGAATACCAAAATACAGATTCACTGAAAGGCATCGCTGAATTCATTTGTCATTCATCTTTTATTGACTTCTTACTCAAACTTAAAAGTACAAATTCTAGTCAGAGAATGTGAAATTTTGATGTTAACAAGGGGCTCTTCACACTGCAAAGCTGAGAGTCGCTACTATAGAAAGGAAGCTTTAGTCTTCAGAGCCGATGAAGGCCACTGTAAAGGAAACCTAGTATAACATTTTCCATGCACATTCTATGTCCCAAGCTGTGCTACTTTCTTGATATGACTGCTTCAATTTAATATTGAAAGTGATTAATCTTGAAAATTTGAAAACAAAACCCAAGGATGTACACACAATCAACCCTTGTTTTACAGATAAGGAAACTATGGCTCAGAAAGTCCAGTAACATGGTAAAGCTCACATAGCAAATCGGTGGCAGAGCAGACTTGAACTTGAGAACTACAAACACTCAAAGGCTATGACTTTAACTACAACACTAGCCAACCAATTCTCCCTGGTGGGAAGATTTGCCACATGTGGAGGTTGGCCCAAAGTCTGATATCCCCCATCTTCTTCTCCTTGGGAAGCTCTTAACAATGATCACTGCCTTAGCACTTTGACCTTCGCTGTAGCCCTCTAACCTAAACAGGGACACTTACTCCTTTCACTGCACTTAAGACTTTAAAGAGGATGGCATACCAAAAAATCTAACTCATAATATGATTCTGAGACCACAGGTCCTGGCTCATTCTTTAGGTCTCTTTTTTTCTTCCCTGGGCCTTCCCCTATCCTCCTGGGACAAAGATAGTTCTCTATCTGGGAATGCCCCTAAGTTCGAACTCTAGAAATCAAAGTCTAGGGAAAAACTCCTTTTGCCAGTCTAAGGCCTACCTTACAGGGACCTCCCCATTTCCTGTCCTACGATGTGTCTCTTCTCTGGATAAAACACTAAACATGTCTAGTCCCTCTGAAGGAGCTCCCCAAACCCATCTTTGGTGGTGTGGTCTTAACCTGTGGCTCCGTATCATAACACAGCAGCCTGTCATTTTTCTTACAGAAACTTACTCCACTTCCCAGTCAGAAGCTATCTGGTAGGGATGGGGTGGACACAATATTGAATGAGCACATCACACCGATTCTGTAACAAGACTTCGGTGAAGCAGCATTCCCTAATTCCTGGTCCATCCTTCAGGATTTTTTTTTTAAGACTTTATTTATTTATCTTTAGAGGGGAAGGGAAGGAGAGAGGGAGAGAAACATCAATGTATGGTTGCCTTTCGTGCGTCCCCTGCTGGGAAGTGGCCTGCAACCCCGGCATGTGCCCCGACTGGGAATCGAACTGCAATTGTCTGGTTTGCAGGCCCGCACTCAATCCACTGAGCTACACCAGCCAGGTGTCATCCTTCAGGATTTCTGATGGCCCCCACAGTTGGCTGCCCTTCCCATGTTTTGGTGTGACTATCCCACACTGTTAGGCCACTCCCATTAATGCCACTGTTACGTTCCTCATCCAGGAACAAGTGACTACTCTGGTAAAAGAACTGAAACAAATTGCCCTTCAAATATGAAGTAAAATAATTATTTATCAAAAGATCACTGTTGGGCTTAAAAAAAAAAAAACACCTATAGTCCTGACCGGCGTGGCTCAGTGTTGGGCATCAAAAGGTTGATGGTTTGATACCCAGTATGGCACATGTCTGGGCTGTGGGCCAGGTTCCATTAGGGACATGTGCGAGGCAACCGATCAATGTTTCCCTTTCTTTCTTCCTCCCTTACCACTCTCTCTAAAAATAAATAAATAAAATCATCAAAAATAAATACATAAATATGTAACTCTTAAATGTAATGTTGAAGTGGGGAAATGGCTATAGCAGCCTCACATAAATTATTTTAATAAACATTATCACAATATTAAGAAGGCAAGGTAAACAAATAGCTTAAGTATTTTATTCATTTGCAACTAAGCTTGTTAACACTATATAATGAAAATGTACAAAGAATAACATTGCAGTTTTTGGTTAGATTTAAGTCAAAGACATTCATTGATACGGAAACTTCCAATGTGAATACTCCAGAAATTTCTCTAAGCCATCTGATCAGAACTGTCTCTGAATATTACCTTACTTGTATTGGCATACATTTGAATTACACTCAGAACTTTTCAAAATAAGCTGTAATTAAAAAAACTATTCTATATTCAAACTAAAACAATTTTAATAGAACTTTTCTTTCCAAAAACAATAATAAATGAAACAAGGCATTTTGTAAAATGTGGTCCTGAACAAGTCACAGTAAAAAATAAATGTATACTTAACTTCCACCTCCTCAAAACAGAGGCTACTTTCTGTTCCTCAGCCTTGGAATCAAGGTGAAGAACAGTCTGTAAGCAACTTCAGGCAAGGGGTTGCCAAAACAAAGCTCAAGCAGTTGAACATGGACATCTCTTAAAAGAATTCGGGAGAACCTGACCAATGGATTCAAATCTATTGGTAATAACTGACACAAAGGTGAAGTGGCTCTTCCCAAGTAGCAGTGCCGACAGGGTCTGGCCCAGCCCTGAGCTCACCTGTTCTATGCTCCCACGCAAACCCTGATGATGCTCCTGCTGCTCCAGCAGAGACTTATTCCAGAGGTTCAGTGTCCAGGGAGCTCTTCGGGTGAATGAGGTGAGCACAGACTCCACGTGGGTATTTTAAGGCTTGGAGTCAAAGTATCTGACATGGCTAGGCAAAGTCCATGTATCAAACAGCCTGTCTTCAGTTCATTCGAATTCCTCACTGTGTATTTATTGACCTAGGGCCACAGACCTTTGCTATGTCATCATAATTACATCTAATGTCCAGCCTAATGAATGATTCATATTCTGTGCCTGGAAACAGTCCCTGTATTTAACAGTAATACCTACACATAAACAATCCACCGTTACAACTTATATGGTTACAAAACATTAATGATCTTCTATAGACCAAGCAAATGTTTTTAAACCATAATTGTCGTGCATCAAATTCACAGCCAGAATCCCCAAGATCAAAGTAATTTGCACAATACAAAAAATAACTTAAAATACACATACACACATATACACACACTCTCACACACACTTCTTACAGAACTGTGCTTGGGGAAACTCCATTTGTTGAGTGCCACTGAGGGCATATTTTGCTAAACTGCTGCTTCAGGTATTTTGTTTGGAAAATCTATCACTGTAGGGCACAGCTGTTTATTGGATGAGCAGAAAAGAAATATATGCTTGTGGCAACCAGAAAGTTTTAAGGTCTTTCAAGTTGTATAAAATGAACCTGCAGAAACTTTTTAAGTGTTCTCAGGATGCAAAGTTGGAGCTGAAATGTGATATCAAACCAGTTGCAAAAGTGCACAGCAGCCATCTCTTGAGGTCAAACCTGGTACCCAGATATGCAAGAAAGCTTCAGGACACGTCTATAAATTAGGGATAAAAAACAAAAAGAGTGTAAGAATACTAAAAAGTAGTGTTGTGCTTTTAAAATAACAACTAACAGTAAATGTGATAAACTGCATGGAGGATAGGAGTCACCACTTAAAAGGTCCTAAATTCTCAAGAATTTAAGAAACCTGATTTGGTTCAGTTTAAAGATACAGTTATAATTTATGATTTGAGTAACTGGTAGTTGTAAGATGTTTAGTATTAAGAAATTCTGACCACATTCTTGATAAATTAGCCTAAGGAATCAACTCTCATAAATTAACAATTGAAACTACCTTTCCAGGGTGAAAAGCTAGGTAATAAACAAATTGGCACTGGAGTTAGACTACCTAATGCTCCAATACTGGCTGAACCACTAGCTACATTAGCTTGGACAAATTATTAACCTCTTAAAGTGCTATCTTTACCAGTGTAATGGGGCTAACAATAGTTCTCCCCTCATAGGGTTCTCTTGTGTATGAAATCAACTTCAAAGAATTAAAAGGGCTTTGCACAGTGCTGGGCATGTAAGTACTCTTTAAATAAATGCTAACTATTAATGTATTTCACAAGGGCGTTTTGCTCTCAGGAGACAAGGCACTCAGCTTCAAAATTTTGAAGTTGGAAATTGGAAAATTCAAAGGAAACTTGGCAATACTTACAGCTCGTGGGCCTTGTCCCATATCGTCGCATAATCTGATCATGTGTGAATTTCACAAAAGATTCATATTGTTCTGTAAGAAAAGACAGTATGTACTATCACCGGAAACTCTCCCCCCAGTTTTTCAAGAATGAAGTGCCACACCTAACTTCCCAGTTTAAATTATCCACCCTCAGATCCTCCTTGTAACTAACAGTCCCTCTGAGATTACTTACTACCTCTTAGTTCCCAGAGCCAAACCCCTGGCTCCTATATTTGATCACTGGTCATCTGTAATATAACATTTTCCTTAACAATCTTGCCCAAGCTGTAACTCCATCCTCTACTAATGGCTTCCCAAAACAGACAGATATGGTCACTATTACAAGCCAGCAAATATTTGGGTATCTCCTATAGAACATGGAGCTTGAGGCTCCTCAATTGCATTCAATCCTTGCTATAAAAACTTCAACAGACATATTGAGTGAAAAAGGTGGGATGGCTAGAAAGCTAGGAGAAAATTTCATACTACCTAACTGTATGTATTTAGAACAGAAGTACATTCTAAAGGGAAACTCAGCTGAAAGAAGATAATCTAACGTCTATGAACACAGAAGTGACTTATGGACAGCTGACCTGAACAATCTTGAAGTGGTATTAGGAGGGAGAAATAATAGTTTCTTCTTATAATCTACATTATTAGATGCAAAAAAAAAATCCATTTAATTTTGTTGCTAACCCAACAGTTTTCAATTTAAAGCAAAACTATTAATATTCTGAGGCACCACGTGGTGTGGGTCACCGAATTAGGAAACAGTACTGTTAATGGAAGAAATTGTGGCTTAAAACCTCTCTGATCACAATTATCATCCTCTTTCACTAAACAGGTACTTTCTACTTCTGATTCAGATCCCTTCCTTTCACAAAAGGCTCTAACTTACCACCATTAATCACTCCCTTTGTTCTTGCCTGAGCTGTGCTTTCCACATTTTAACAAGTCACAGGACGGCTGACTTCTTACACGCACTGACTCCCACCAGGAAGTCTGAGTATGTTCACTATTGTACACAACCCCCCAACCATCTGCTGATTGACGGTCAGCACTATCCCAACCACCTGTTTATAGGCCGTCTATCCCAAACAGCCTACTCAAAATGCCTTTGTTCATATGGAAAATTCTCAGAAGAAAACTTAGTTTATCTTGTTTCAGAAATGTAAATGAAAAGTCCTTCCATATAACATATAAATGTTTACAATCACCAAAGGAAATAACATTCTCAACTCATTAAACCTTTTTGCATGATATCCTACTCCTAAATTACCATTTACTTAACTGGGGTTAATTCTTACCCACTACCTCAGCCTACCTGCTAGTTTGGTATTGAGGATTTGCTCATACTCCTCCCGAATTTTATCTTCATAGTCTTTTAAGAGACGTTCACATATTATTCCAACTTGTCGGAGAGTAAAGGTGGGCTGGTCCTTCTTCATCCAGGAGGAACCTGGCGAAAAGACAAATCTAGTTTACACACTAAATTCTAGTTCTAAGGTTTAGAATTAGTACCTTCATGCAAACAGTCCTAGAATATAAAAATTATATATAAAAATGGCATTTTCACTGATTTACATGGAATATTTTCACAAAATTCTCTGGGTTTCTGACATCTGTTTTACAAAGCAAAGGCACAGGTAAATTGGGAAGGAGGATAAACATGAATGCAGGTACAAAAAAATAGTTCTGATGCTCTAACAGTCAGAGCCCATACTCAATGCTCACCTGGTAAATGACAAAAATAAAAAGTTTAAAGCTGATATAAAGCCTCTTGTTTGGATTAGGAAAAGTAGATTCATAGCACAAGAGCTACTCAGATCCTTGAAGATCAACCAGACCTATGTTTAACCAAGGTTGTGTATCATAGTTATCTGCGGAATTCACAAAATATATACACACATTCTGATTTAATTCTGGAGTAGGGCTTCGGCCTCTTTTAAGTTCCACAGGTGATTCTGACAAGAAAAGAAGTTGGACAGGAGACCAACTGACTGGCCCAATATAAAAAATTGTTAGCAAAATCACTAAATATGAATGAAGGAGACAATTAGTCACTACCCATTTCATCCTTGACTCCTACAGAATCTAGGTCAAGAAGAGTGAAATGTTCCTAAGATAATAGTTAGGAACCAAAATATCCACTGGAATGGATATTTTATATGCTTTCCAACAACATGGAAATCGATTTCCTGATTATGATAAAAGCAACAGCTCCATTGGTAGTCCAGTTCTCAGTTGTTTTTCAAAGCATAGTCTGGAATGTGTTTCTTTGGCCCTTAGTCTATAAACTATTCAATGGCCTAAAACACATTATTTTTTTGCTTAAACCCATTTTTTTTCTCTACAAATGAAACTTGACCAAAACATCTGGCCAATTATTATTTGTAACTGTTTCTTGACCCATAACATATTCATTAATTCAAAATTATATTACTAAAACCTCAAGAGGAAATTGAGACTTGTTAGCTATAATCATTGAAAGTTTATCACTTACGCATGTGCAAGAGCAATTAGAAAGGGTGTTGTTTCAGAGTCAAAACTTTTGAGTTATAAAAAAACAAGTTAAAAAAGTTATTTGAGCCCTGACTGGGGCAGCGCAGTGTAAGCACTAGCCTGCAGATCAAAAGGTTGCAGGTTTGAATCCCAGTCAGGGCACATGCCCAAGCTGCAGGCCAGGTCCCCAGTTGGGAGTGTGAGAGAGGCTGTTTCTCTCACACGTTTCCCTTTCTTTCTCCTTTTCCCCTCTCTAAAAATAAATAAAATCTTTAAAAGTTAAAAGAAACTATTTGAGGTGAAACTGACGTAAAGTGAACAATCCAGTGGCATTTACTATAGCTGCAATGTTGTACAACCGCCATCTCAATTGAGTTTCAAAATATTTATACTACTCCAAAGTAATACCTCTCACCCATTAAGAGCCCCCCTGCCCCACCCCCACCCCATCTCCTGGCCCACAACAATTTGTGTTCTATAAAAAGACAATTTTTCATCAAGGTAATTTCTGAAGTTTTTTGTGAGGAAATTAAACTACTGTTGAAGGACAGAGCTCGCCAGCACTGGAGATGTGTAAGCACTGGCCTATTTATTGTTTGCAGGGATATGGCAGGCAAGACTGGTGGCTGAACTATGTGACCAGGCAGATTCACTTCAACCCTGAGGTTCTATCTGAGCACATCCTCCCCAATCACCTGTCAATATTATAGAGCAATGCTGTCACACAACTTTTCTGCAATGATAAAAATGTCCTACAGTTGTTCTGTGTGGCTACTAAACTCTTTAAATATGGTTACTGCATGCATCTGGAAAACTAAATGTTAAAATTTTTATTACAATTTAATTAATTAAACAGCCGTATGTGGCTAGTGGCTATGGTAACAGACTTTGTAGGTATAGAGGGTGCCGTTGCATTGGGTGAATGAAAGCCAATCCAATCAAAGGTCTTTGCTGATTTCATGATTCTATGGTTTTAATAGTATTTATAATGCATACACTTTTCCACTTTTATTACCTTACATGAAATTGATTCTAAATTAGGAAACCGTTATTTTAAGTACCATTTACAAACTCTTAAATGTTTGTGCCAATTAAAGCACACTTACCTGGAGAACTAGGTGCTGTGAGTGCTGAGGAGTGAGGCTGACTTTCTGAAGTACAAGCTTCATTTTGATTAAGAACAACTTCTAAATGTCTCCACCTCTGATAACGACTATATTCTTGTTTTATGTTCTGAAAAATTTGTTCTAAATAAAAAAGAAACACACTTGAGCATTTACTTTGATTTCTTCAAATTTCTTGTTTTCCCCCCGTTATAAATATTAACAAGAAAAATATTTATACTGAATAACATTCCTTCTATAACTCCCAAAGTGTGCCCTCTTATTGTCATTATTTCAACAATATGTAGAATAATACCTATTTTGACATAAGCTACTCAAAGGAAATTCTCTTTGCTTTCCTGTGACAATAAAGACCAGATCTGCTGTTTGCTATAGGATTAATTAGTACAATGCACAGGGGGAAAATCCTTCACTTAATAATGAGCTATTTTTTAAAAAATCTCCTTTAAATTGCAATTTCACAAACTAGGGTACTAAGGATCTCTTACCACCTGTCTGGGACTCAACATCTTTAGGGAAGAAGGCAAAAAACCATTATTTTCACAGCTAGAGGAAGATATGAAACTTACTGCTTAGAATTCATGAACAGTACATAGAAAAGAACTTTCTGATTCTATAAGAGGCGGTATTAGGTAGGCTTAAGATTGCTATTCTGAGTTGAGGTAATAATAAACCAAATTTAACACTATTAAAAGGAGTCCAGGACACACAAACCACTAACCACCTTGAAGTACACTCCTAGAGATAACACAAAATCTGGAAGGATGTGGTTTTCATGTTTGGGTTTTTTTTGGTGGCAGAATATACATTCACTTTCCAGATAATAAAGCCTCCTCATCAAAAACAAAAACCAGAAAATTGTTATCACCCCCAACTCACATTCCAATGTACACTTTGCTATAACTGTATTTTTTTAAAATAGGGAGTGGTGCTGTTAACAATGCCATTTTGCTTCTTCCTGGCTGTGTGACTATGACCTTGGGAAGTCAGGCAGGATCTTTAGCCTAGTTCTTTTTTAAAATGTATTTTATTAATTATGCCATTATAGTTGTTCTATTTCGCCCCTTCATTCCCCTCCACCCTGCACACCCCTCCCCCACCATTCCCCCCCTTTAGTTTATGACCACTTGTCTCAAGTTCTTTAGATTCTATATTTCCCATACTATTCTTGCCCTCCCCCTATTTTCTACCTACCATCTATGCTTATTTTCTGTACCTTCTCCCCCCTTCTCCATCTCCCACTCCCCTGTTGCTAACCCTCCATGTGATCTTCATTTTTATGGTTCTGCTCCTGATCTAGCTGTCCTCTTAGTTTGCCTTCGTTTTAGGTGTGGTTGTTAATAACTGAGTCTGCTGTCTTTTCACTGTTCATCTTTTTTATCTTCTTTTTCTTAGATAAGTCCCTTTAACACTTCATATAATAAGGGCTTGGTGATGATGAACTCCTTGAATTTGGTCTTATCTGAGAAGCACTTTATCTGTCCTTCCGTTCTAAATGAAAGCTTTGCTGAATAGATCAATCTTGGATGTAGGTCTTTGGATTTCATGACTTTGGATATTTCTTTCCAGCCCCTTCTTGCCTCTAAGGTCTCTTTTGAGAAATCAGCTGACAGTCTGATGGGAACTCCTTTGTAGGTGACTGTTCCCTTATCTCTTGCTGCTTCTAGGATTCTCTCCATTTTAATCTTGGCTAATGTAATGATGATGTGCCTTGGTGTGTTCCTTCTTGGGTCCAACTTCTTTGGGACTCTCTGAGCTTCTTGGATTTCCTGAAAAGTCTATTTCCTTTGCCAGATTGGGGAAGTTCTCCTTTATGTTAATATAAATGTTAAATGCTTGCCCAATAAAGTTGTGAGAATCAGAATCAAAGATATTAATAATACTGTAACAGCCCTGGCTGGTATGGCTCAGTGGACTGAGTGCCTGCCTGCAAACCAAAAGATTGCTGGTTCGATTCCCCATCAGGGCAACGCCTGGTCTGTGGGCCAGGTCCCCTGTCAGGGGGATGTAAGAGGCAAGTGATTGATGGTTCTCCATTCCTCTTTCTCTAAAAAAATAAAAGAAATCTTAAAAAAAAAAAAAAAAAAAAAAAAAGCAAGCCATAACAAGTGATGGTTCAGCCCAGGAACTGACATATACTCAAAAGTAGCTCATAGCTAAATTCCGTAACACTCAGCCTAAACACTGGGACAACGTACTATTTAGCAAAGCTTTCTTTTAAGAATGCTATGAACTTCATATTTTAGATCCCTGAATTTATGAAGTCTTTGTTTCATCTTTAAAATATATTCTCCAAACACACTTGGCCAGATTCAATATAAGGTTGTAAGCAACTGCAAAAACTTGAAACAGGAAAGAGCAAGTATGAGAACAATGCTCACGAGAACAGGTCTTTGATAAACCTCTAAGTTCCTCCTATATGGCAAAGTGAAAAAATAGAAAGTAAGGTATAACTTTGAGGCTGGTACAAGGACTAGCAAGGACTAAACATGAGATACACAAGAGAAAAATAAGGAAGCAGACGTGATATTTTTCTCGTGAAGGCCACATAAAACAGACAAAGGCATCTTTAAAAAAGAAAATGCAAATTTCTTTTAAACAGTGGACAATTTTAATCTCTGCCTCCAATTATTTAAGGTTGTGCTTCTAGGTTTTATCAGACTAAGTCCATTATTTTTCCAGTTCCAGCTCCCACTCCAACCCAGTTGCATTAAACAATCCTGTCCTTAATTATGTGGGTTTTCTGTCCTTCACTCAAGCAATTCTGCTTTGCTTAAAATGGGGCTGTCTCTCTTTCCAACATTTAAGACCCAGCTAAAATGATACCTCATTCTGATCTAGTCATGATCAGTTAATTGCTTTGCATCTGGACTCACTCACTCCATGTTTACAAACATCTCCCTGAGGTCAGTAACCCCTTTTCATCTCTGGCATCCATCTACCCCACTCATTTAAGCAATAAAAGACATAATTTTATAGGCCATTTCTACAAAAAATGCTATGGCATATCTTTTTTAAGTGAAGCAAAAACACATTTTTTGCCCATTTCTGAGAGAACTTTACAACCCTTGAGATAACTAGGATGTTACAGAGTGAAGTCACTGATTTTTATACTCACTTTTCTAGTAGTTGGCCTTATTCTTTCTACTTGTGTAACAACTAATACTTCCTCATTCTTCCTTTTTAAATCAAGAAGGCATCTTTTACATAAGCCAAAGCATTAAATAATGAATCATTCATTCTTTGTTTCTTTCATGACAGAACCATATTCCAATAAGCATTGAAGAGCATAACAAACAGATCAATCTTTACAAGTGAACATTTAAACAAAATAATTTAACTGAAAATGACCAAGATGCTAGTCTGCATGATTTATGCAAAGAATAAGTTTTTAAAAATATTTTATTTATTTATTTTTTGAGAGAGGGGAAGGGAAGGAGAAAGAGTGGGAGAGAAATATCAAAGTATGGTTGCCCCTTATTTGTCCCCTGCTGGGAACTGGCCTGCAACCCAGGCACTTGCCCCGACTGGGAATCGAACCGTGACACTCTGGTTCGCAGGCCCGCGCTCAATCCACTGAGCTACGCCAGCCATGGCTGCAAAGAATAAGTTTTAAGATTAAAAAATAAACAGTGGCTCCCATTATGGCACTGTGCCATATTCAGGCTTCCAAATACATATAGCAATCACTTATGTGTTTGCTGTAATATAAACTACAGTAAAATTAATCTAAAGAACATTAATAGAACAATACACTTACTTAATACCCATCAAGATAGATACGGTTAGGTTAAGTATTAGTTTTATTTAGCTGAAGAAAACAGACCCAGAAAAATTATGTGACTATCCCTGCATAGCTTTAGGCTGGGGGAGGGGGGGGAATCACTTTAATTGAGCACCTACACCCTCTGCCCTTGAAGGGCTCTTCACAAAGAACTTTTGCAAACATCCTCATTCAGGGCAACATTAAGTGGTCAAGGAATTTAAAGTCAAACAGAGTTCCTCAAGGGCAGGGTTGGTCAGGTAATGGATGGGAGACTGACTGCATTTGGATTAGCAAATAGGAGGGGAAAGCATCATGTTGGAAGGCAAGAATACAGACACAGCCAGGTGAGCCCGAGGAAAAGGGAGCAAAGACATAGGTTGGTAAAAAATCTGTAAGACTGACTAGATGAGATACGGTTACAGTTGATAAGTCCTTCAAATGCCAGCATTGAGAGATGAACCTAAGTCTAGGAGAGCTTGGCTGGTAAACGCAAAAATACTAGTACCAAAGGATGAGGGCCTGAAATCTGTATTGTGGATTTGCAAAGAAGGAAATAGAGCCTCAAGACACTGGTAACTGAATGGGAGTAAAGAAACAATAATTTTAAGACAATTCCAAAGTTTTGCTTATGCTTGAAAAGCAGAAAAAACACACAAAGAAATGACTTGCCAAAGTCCAGTTTTGAAACCTCCCCCATTTCCGGGAGCCTTTTAAAACTGCTAAATATTAATTCTGATGCATTTTCTCCTCAACTCCCACACAATGGTTAGGGTTTTGTGTTTGTTTTTTTTTACTCTATGTCACACTAGCTCTTCCCTTTCCTCGACCAATATCCTTACTGAAGGCGAGTCTGTCTGCTACGGATAGCTGAATTCCTGCTTTCGGAACCTCTGTATGTTTAACGATTCTCAAATTCTAGCTAACGGCCTACCGACTTCAAGCCATATATGGTACAAGACAATAGCCATACAATAAAAGAACACGGCCAGTCCTTAGAATTAGTCAGGTTGAAATCGGATTCCATGACTTCTGCGGCGGCCTCCGGTCCCTCAAGGCTTCTGTAAATCAGGTCTTCCTACAAGCTACAGTACAGTGCGGAACAGCTCACACTCAGGCTCCTTCCCAGTAACCAGCCCCCAACCCCCACCCTCAAGGCCGGGTTCGTGAGTAGAATCCAATTTCCCAGGGCCCACCGATTTACAGGGCGACTCAGTGCAGGCCCAGGCAGCAAAGGCAGGAGGGGCTGGGGGGACGCGGAGGGCCCGGAGCGGTCAAGGATAGTCCCATTTTCCTCTAGCTGCCCATCCCTCCAGGTTCGCCAGCTTCAGGAAAACCGAAAACCGACACTGTGACCCCACTACCTCTCCCGGATGTTTCCCTTTCCCGGAAGCGACCAGGCTCGGCGGCTCCAGTTCCCTTTTCGCAGGGCAAAGAAGGGGTCCGTGAGTAAATGAGCCAAGCGTCCATAACCCTTCCCCCCATTCCCACCCCCACCCCCAAATGCCAGGGCCTGGCTTCCTGCCAAGCCCGCAGTGTCGGTTACCCGGAGTTGGAAAGCGCCGTTCACTGCCAGGCGGTACCGGCTGCTGCAGGGTCGGCGGTGGGGTCTGCATCTGAAGCGGCGTCGGCTCGACGTCCGGGGGCCTGAGGCCCGGAGTGGGGCCGGGCAGAGGGGCGCAGCGCCGCCGCTTCGGGGAACCCGGGCTCAGCAGCGCCGCCTCGAACTCCATGGGCCGCTTCAACGTCGCCCCACACGCCATGCCGCCAACCGGCCAGGGACCAGGAACGGACGCGGTGGAAACTGCCGTCCAACCTCCAGCTCCTCACCGGAGCTCTCAAGGCAAGCCGGCTCCAATGGCGCCTCCAGCACCCGGCAGCGGCCCTGGCCCCGCCTCCTGTGACGTCACGGACCTGGTCACCGTCCGGCGAGGGGGGGAAGCCGGAAGAAGGCCACTCTTTGCGGTCCACCAGCGGCAGTCCTGCCCGCGGCGCCCCCTACTGCAGAAATGGAATGGCCTGGGCGGAGAATTTGGTCACCAAGCAACCAAGGGTGGACCCCCGCCTCCGCCCCTACCAGGGTTCCATTCCCCCCACCCCTTCCCATCGCTCGCGGGTGGCCCCTTAGGTTTTCGCACCTGCGCGGCCGGGGCGTGGGGGAGGGGAGATCTTGGAGGGGTGTTCTGGGAGCGGGTAGTTGAGAGACCGAGGAGAGTCGCTTGCTGTCTTCGCGTCCCTTAACCTTTTATCTAGTTCTAGTCCCATGATAAAAGAGAGGGTGATTCTGAAAGATCCTCAAGGGCATTTCCCTGACTCCAGGAAGTCTCAATTTAAACATAACGTGAGATTTGAAAATGGGTTTAAGGAAGTCTAACAATCCCCATGGAAAGGCAAAATTGTGGGGGGTGGGGCAGTGTGGATATATTTTAGGAGAGAAGACTCATACTCAGCTCATCAAAGGGGTCCGTTCCTCACAAAAGTTAAAAACAAATCGAGAACAACCAACTGGTTTAAACCATTTAAGAATGGTGTCAGAGTGTTAAGAACTTCAGCTGATAGCCGATGTGCCAGTTTCCTCAACTGGCAAATTCAGCTGACAAAAGCTGAATATCAAAAGCACCTGACAGTTCAGGTACTGAATTTTTTCAATATTTTGAAAAAATTAATTGGTGACAGGTCAGTTCTACTTTTAGAAACTTTTCTGCGCCTGTATATTACTGGGGAACAGGTCCAAGGAATCCGTGACACAAAAAAGGTTAAAACCTTTCTAAAACTACTTACATACGTTAAATATTCACAATGACTCCTGGGATCCATATGGTTTGACACATCTCTGGGAGTTGCCAGAACAATCTAAATTTCAGGTACTTTTTCTGTAACAGGTGATATGCCTGATCAATATGCCCCAAGTTGAAGAATATGGACATGGTATTGTACTTCATTCCATTCTTAGTCCCTTTCTGTTGCTTTACTCTGGGTCCTCCCCAGTTTCTCCAAATTTTATGAAGGTCCAAACATAGGTCATTCATTTTTTTTTGGCATTTATGTTTAGAATTATTTCAGAAATAATTCTAAAATGTCTGTGCATATCAGGCGTTAAATTTATTCTATCCTATCTCCTTTCCATAATAAAGAAGGGTTACAATCGACTAGAAAACTAGAAATGAAACATTAGGGCCAAAGAAAAAGATCATAATTATCCTAATAATTAAATATGACTGACTGAATTTGAAATTTAGTTCTGAACTTCCTGGTTGCCAGGGCAAAAACAAAAACATTACACAATGAATAAATCTTGTCATCTGAACAGAATCAACTTATCAGAGGAGACCTTTTTTTTTCTGTAGCGCTAACTTGTAAAGGTAGTTTCTCATATAACTTTATTAGGAACTGGTGAATGAGGTAGTAAAGCAATCAAGAAGACTTTTAAAAAAGATTTTATATAGTTTCAGAGAGGGAATGGGAAGGAGAAAGAGAGGGAGAGAAACATCAATGTGTGGTTGCCTGACACACACACCCCTACTGGGGACCTGACCCTCAACCCAGGTGCCCTGACTGGAAATTGAACTAGTGATCCTTTGATTTGCAGGCCAGCACTCACTGCACTGAGCCACACCACTCAGAGCAAGAAGATTTGAACAAGAAATTCAAAAGCAAAATTCATATGGATATTTATTTTAATTTAATAAAAGCCAGGGACATAAATAGCAACCTAGTTATGGTTATTTTAAATAAATTATTCAAATATTTTTTTAACTTACTGATTTTAGTGGGGGGAGAAAAAGAGAGGAACATCAATTTGTTGTTCCACTTATTTATGAATTTACTGACTGCTTCTAGTATGTGCTCTGATCAGGGATCAAACCAACAACCTTGGCATATTGGGACAATGGTCTACCCAACTGATCTACAGAACTAGGGTGGATGTTTTTTTTTTTTAAGGGGCATGTCTCATGCAGTCTAGGGAAATTGTTTTCTTGTGATCTCAACTGTTTCAAACTTAGACCTTAGAAGGTTTTAAAAGTATGTCCTTTGGGTCATCATTCTAATAGCACTTCTCTCTAGGGTGTTGCTAAGTGCTTTGATGGTTATTCTCTTCTCTGTGGTCATTTAAAAGTTTGAGTATGCCTTGTAATATTAGTGTTTTAAAACAGGAAGTTATAATTTGTTTACAAATCTGACTGCTTCAAAATTAGAAATTCCTTGAAAATAATAATCAGGCCCCATTCATATATGTTTCCTCATCCTCTGCACAGTATTTGAATGCAGTAAGGGTAGGCACAGAATAAATATTGGTAGCAGAAATAAATGGTAATTAGTTCAAGGTTGTTCTCTCTGTCCCTGAAAGCTGATAGTCTACATTGCTGAATGAGGGTGGATTCAGATGATTCAGAAGCCAAACAAGTAGATGGTAAATCCTATTATAAATTGCAGTTGACGACAGCCCAACCAGAGAGATGCCCTTGAGGGAAGCAGATGGGCTGCTGTGACAACTACTCACTGTGGTGTCTCCTTATGAAGTCACTATAGTCCAGGCCTGCTTTCCTCTGCATTTCCAGACACTTTGCCAGTCATATACATGTGTACACATACACATGTTATTAAGTACCTTTCATGTGCTAGGCACTATACTATCATGGTTGAGGATACTGTGATATGAAGAGACATCGTTCCTGCCCTCCTAGGGCTTCCAGTCTGTTAGAGGTGACAGACATTTATCAAATAATCAGAACAGCTAATTTACAGTTGTAAACTGTGACAAGTACTCTGAAGGGAAAAACAGGGAAGTCAAAACAGGTCTTGACTTAGCAATGAAGACTTCTCTGAAGAAGTCACATCTGAGTTATCTAAATAAGAAAAGAGAGGGTGAGGACATCCCGAGCATACCCAAAGCCAGTGATAGAAGAGACCTTAATGTGTTGAAAGAATCAAAAGAAGTCTAAAGTTGCTGTGGTGCAGAGCATGAATGCAGAGTCAGGGAAGAAAAAAACTGATGAGGAAGGCAGGAGCCTAATCATTTAAAACCCTGTAGACTGCCAAAAGGTTTTTTTTTACCTTTATCTTAAGAGCAGTGGGAAGTCACATCAGGAGTTGAGGTGGAAACCTAAGAGCTTGGACCCTGCCCCTGAGCACAGCATCACAACCCAGGCGCTGGGTCGCCTCGCCCTGGTGAACACCTAAAGGCTCCGCCCCTCATATGTAACAGGTGCAAACAGACCAAAACATTATGGGTCAAGCAGAAGAACAGCTCAAAGCCCCAGAGCCAATATTTCTAAGTGACAAAGAGATAGCCAACCTATCAGATGAACAATTCAAAGCACTGGTGATCAGGATGCTCGCAGAATTGATTGAATTTGGTTGCAACTTAGATGAAAAAATGAGGGCTACACTAAGTGAAATGAAGGAAAACGCAACCAATAGTGATGGGAAGAAAACTAGGACTTAAATCAAGGGAATGGACCAGAAAGAAGAAAGAAACATTCAACCAGGAAAGAATGAAGAAAAAAAAAATTCAAAAAATGAGGAGAGGCTTAGGAACCTCTAGGACATCTTTAAACATTCCAACATCTGAATTATAGGGGTAACAGAAGGGGAAGAGGAAGAGCAAGAAGTGGAAAACTTACTTGAACAAATAATAAAAGAGAACTTCCCCAATCTGGCAAAGGAAATAGACTTCCAGGAAGTCCAGAAAGCTCAGAGTCCCAAAGAAGGTGGACCCAAGAAGGAACACACTAAGGCACATTATAATTACATTACCCACAATTAAAGATAAGGAGAGAATCTTAAAAGCAGCAAGAGATAAGGAGACAGTTATCTACAAAGGACTTCCTATCAGACTGTCAGCTGATTTCTTAAAAGAGACCTTACAGGCAGGAAGGGGCTGGAAAGAAGTATTTCAAGTCATGAAAGACAAGGACCTACATCCAAGATTGCTCTATCCAGCAAAGCTTTCATTTAGAATAGAAGGGCAGATAAAATGCTTCTCAGATAAGGTCAAGTTGAAGGAGTTCATCACCACCAAACCCTTATTATAAAAAATGTTAAAAGGACTTAACTAAGAAAAAGAAGATAAAAAACATGTACAGTAAAATGACAGCAAACTCACAATTATTAACAACCATGCCTAAAACAAAACCAAAAACAAACTAAGGAAACAACTAGAACAGGAACAAAACCACAGAAATGGAGATCACATGGAGGGTTAGCAACAGGGGAGTAGGAGGAGGAAAAAGGGGGTGAAGGTACAGAAAATAAGTAGCATAGACGGTAGGCAGAAAATAGATAGGGGGGAGGGTAAGAATAGTATGGGAAATGTAGAAGCTAAAGAACACATGGATATGAACTAAAGCAGGGGAATGTGGGTGGGAGAGAGTGTGCAGGGTGGAGGGGAATGAAGGGGGGAAATGGGACAACTGTAATAGCATAATCAATAAAATATATTTTTTTAAAAAAGAAAATGATCAGATTTACAGTTGAAAAGATTTCTGGATGCTGCATAGAGGACAGGTTGAAAGAGAGCAGGGATGAATGGAGATCAGTAAAAAGATTATTGTCTCTGTGCAGATTCATGAATTGTAGAATTAGTTTTATTTTACAAGGAACCTCCTACTTCCTGGCATACACAGATGTTTTTATGATAGTTCACCCTGGGAAAGCTCAGTAATAGGTCTGAGGTTCTGTCTTTACTGGGGCCAGCAGTTGTCCAACCCACAGCCATGGATGGGCTAAACATGGGGCTGGGAACGAAAGGAAAGAAGGGTATCATCTTACAAAATCTTCTGGAACTCTTTGCCTAAAGCTTCCAAAGGAGTTGTCTACATTTCCCATCTCCTTTTGCCTACTTCCTACCACCACCTACCAAACCACACCTATCTGATTTCTACCCCTCCC